TTATATCATACCATATTAGTCTGTTGTTTTCTGTTGCTAATAACACAATACCACAAACTAAGTCATAAAGATGAGGTTGATTTTGGCGTGTGGTTTCTGTCCAAAGTCTGAAAGCCACATGTAGTGATGGCCTTCTTGCTGACAGAATCCCAAGGTGGCACAAGACATCACATGGCAAGAGATAAGAAGCATATACAACTGGGCTCAGTGGCATACACCTGTAATCCCAGTGGCTAAGGCAAGACGATTGGGAGTTCAAAGCCAGCTTCAGCAAAAGCAAGATGCTAAGCAACTCAGTGAGACCCTGCCTCCAAATAAAATATATAATAGGACTAGGGATGTGACTCGGTGGCTGAGTGCCCCTGGCTTCAATCCCTGGCACAAGAAGGAGGAGAAGGAAGAGGAGGAGGAGGAGGAGAAATAATGTGTATATATACTCCCTGGTCCATCTCTTTTCTTATAAAACAATCAGTATTCAATCATGGCAGCTCCACCCTGGTGATGTTATCAAATTCTAATCACCTCCCACAAACCTATCATTTAAAAACCATAGTTTATCCACTCTCTTAGAATCCCATAATGGGAATTAAACTCCAACATGAGTTTGGAGGAGACAAACCAGGTTCATACCATATAATATATACCATATCATATATCTGTATATTTGCATATCTATTATGGTAAGCTTTAGTTGTGAACTTGACTAGATTAAGGAATACCCGCATATCTAGTAGAGAATTATTTCTAGGTATGTCTGAGAAGAAGTTTCTATAAAAGATTAATATTTAAATCCATGGACTAAGAAAGATCTATCTTCACCTAATATGAGTGGTACCATTCAATCAGCTGATAGCCTGGATAGAACAAAAGCCAGAAGAAAGGCAAAAACATTCTCTCTCCTGGAGGTGATATATTCTTCTTCTCCTATCTCTGGATATCCAAATTCCAGATTCTCCATCCTCTGGACTCTGGGACTTGTACCAGTAGCATTCCCATTCTTCAAACATTCAGCCTTGGACTGAGAGTTACATCATTGACTTTTCTAGTTCTGGGGGCATCAGATTTGAGCTAAGTCACTCTATGGGTTTCCCTGGTTCTTCAGTTTACAGACAGATATGGTAGAATTCTCAGAATCCATTATCACATGAGCCAATTCTCCTAATATTCCTCTGTCATATATCTATGTTTTTAATTTTATTTATTTATTTATTTATTGGTACTAGTATGGAACCCGCGGGCACTTAACCCCTGAGTTTATCCCCAGTCTTTTTCGGTTTGAGAGAGAGTCTCACTAAATTGCTGAGACTGACCTCAAACTTGCAATATTCCTGCCTGAGCCATACAAGTCATTGGGATTACAGGTGTGTAGCTACTCACCCAGTTTCTACCAATTTTTCAATATGAAAATAGATGGAGGGAGAGAGAGAGAGAGAGAGAGAGAGAGAGAGTGAGAAAGGGAGGGAGGGAGGGAGGGAGAGAGGGAGGATAATATCTTGATGTTTCTGTCTTTCTGGAAAATGCTGAATAATGCACATATATCTGTGCTCCAGTGTCCAAAATCTGAGGAAGCTCAAGTCTCTTAGATAAAATGGTGTAGTATTTGTACTACACTTAAGCACACCTTCCCACTTAAATATCTTTAGATTGCTGATAATACCTAATACAATGTAAATGCTAAACAGATAGTTGCATGCTATTATTTAGAGAATAATGACAAGGAAAAGGGTCTGTGCATGTTCCATACAGATGCAATTTTTCAAATATTTTTTGATTTATGATTTGTTGGATTTATGGATAAAGAATCCATATGTACAAAAAAAGACCAACTATACATACTATCTTTTATATATTTACTCTATTTTTTGTTCTCTAAAATAAGAATTAAAATCTTTACATTTTAGTGTAATCACTGGTTTATCTGCATCCTACCGGGTTTTTGTTTGTTTGTTTGGTTTGGTTTGTATATAAGTAAGAAGATTATATTAAAATATCCCTTATTTTTCTTTGACCACTTTACAAGTATGCTGTCTAATTTCTAATTACTAAGGATTTTTCTAAGTATCATATAGTTTTGACTTCTAATATAATGCTAGTTGTAGTCAGTAAATTGTCAATTTTTTATATTTCTTATTAATTACGTTATGACTCATATATGCTCTCTTGGTAAATGTTCTGATCACTGTTGCAAAACAAAATGTTTACTGTGAAGTTGCTAGATACATATACCATCAAAAAATCCATACATGTCAGTTTGTTTAAGGTGGCTGGTGATTTTGTTCAAATCATGCACATCCACACAAATGATTTGTACTCTTTGTACTATTATTGGCCTATATCTTACCATTGTATGTTATAACCTAAAATTCATCATTAATGCTTTTATTTTAATCATTTATATTTTAAATAAAGTAAGAAATGATGGTATCATATATACCTTCATAAATATCTGAGGTTTTTTTACTAACATCATTTCCCTTGGGCCTAACAACTACTTGTTACACTTTTGGTTAAATGTCTGCTGGTGACACATTCTCTTAGCTTTTATTTTTAAATTTTTCATCTTAATTTCTGAAGGATAATTTTATTGCATAAATAATTCTAAGCTGAATTTTTCTCTTTTATTAATTTAAAGTAATTTTGGCTTGCACTGTTTTTCAGGAAAAAAAAAAGGCAAACATTTTGAACATTGTTCTCATTTATATAATGTGTCTTTTCTCCTCTGGATAAAAATGTATTCTTTATTTTCACTTTCAGCAACTAGTTAAGGTGTTTTTAAATTTTATTTTATTTATGTGTACCTTACATAGGGTTTGCATAATTATTATATCTGTATGTTGACATTTTTCATTAAATTTGAAAAACTTTTGTTCATGTTTTATTCAAATATTTTTCTTCCTCGACCTTACCATCCTCTTTTCTGAGACTTTGAATACATATTATTATATTGCTTGATATTTTCCCACAAGTAATTAAGACTAAGTCCATTTTTAAAGTTTTCATCGTTTTGTATTTCAGTTTATATCTTTTCTAGTGTCCTGTCATCAAATTCATAACCTAGTAATTCAATCTACTGCTAAGCCTATCCGGTGAATTTTTCTTTTCATACAATATAATTTTTTAGAACTAGTATTTTTATTTGGTTATTTTTATAATTCTGTTTCTCTGCTGATTTTTTACATGTTGACTTATTAAGTGGTTTTTTTGTCTTTTAGATCAAAACTTTGCTTAATAATCTAATATATGTGTCGTCTTTTGGTCTGTTGTTATCAACTGGTTATGATTTACATTTTCTTGTTTTTTCACTTGTCAAATAATGTCTATTTTTTGTTGGACAATGTAAATGCTACATTGTTGGGAGTCTAGATCTTGTTGTTCTCTCTTAAAGATGATCAAATTAATTTTTTGGAAGATAGTTACTTGAAAGTAAACTGGTTTTATCCTACCAAGATATTTGCTAAAGGCTTTTTTAGGGCAGGAATAGAGGAGATCCTTCTCTATCTAGGGTTACTATAACACCCTCCTTCTTGGCCTTCCTAATATCTCAACTGAACATTTGCTATGTTCAGTAAGGTCTCTACACTCTGATTGTTAGCAATCCTGAATCTCTCAACCGTATACTATTTCCTGAATGCCAATTCAGCTAAGAAAGAGTCATCAGCAACCAATTTCTGCAAAGTTTAGTAAAGTCTCACCTGCACACCAGTGGTAAACCACAGGGTCAAATTCATATTCAGATTTCTGAAATTTCTTTTCTAAATAGCATCATGCATTCTACCCTATTTCAACACCCCCAAATGTTGAAGCAATTTCCTTTGTCGAGTAAAACAGCTGTTTTCTATCCGAGCTCCTCCTTTATATCATTTGGAAAGTGCCCTCGACTAAAAGCCAAAGTAAACATGGAACTCATCTTACTTTCCTTCTCTCAGGAATCACAGACTAGCACTATCTGTTTTCCAGTGCTTGAAAAGCTTGCTTCAAATATTTTATCCAGTTTATACTTGTTAATGGAAGGAAGGTAAGTTTAATAATCATCTCTCTGTATTGAATATGGAAATATAAGCCATTGCTAGAGGTTGTATACTCCTCTTATTTCAAATAGAGGGAAATAAATGTGCATGCACACACACACACACACACACACACATACACAGAGAGAGAGAGAGAGAGAGAGACAGACAGAGAGAGAGAGAGAGAGAGAGAGAGAGACTGACTCTTGGTTGCCCAAAGCTTTTGATATCTGAAATCTAATATCCACACTTCCAATCATAATTAAATAACACCACCCCACTTCAGCCTATAAAACATGCATTTACTCATAATGACACTTCTTACTTTGTTTGGGGAAATTGAGAAGAAAAACAAAAAGAATCAAACTATACCTGGTAAGGTAGCTTTGTAAGGCAGAAGATTATAGACATTTGACCACTGCATTAGTCAAAATTTGTTCCTGTGCCTAATTATCAGCTGCAAAGGAACTGTCTCTAGCAACTTTTATCTTAAAGTAACTTTTTTTTTATTGGTTGTTCACAACATTACAAAGCTCTTGACATATCATATTTCATACATTAGATTGAAGTGGGTTATGAACTCCCAATTTTGCCCCAAATGCAGATAGGAAACGTAGCAGAATACAACAATTACTAATAGGGCATTATGTAAAATTGTGGATGTGTAACCGACATGATTCTGCAATCTTAAAGTAACTTTTAACCTATTCATCGCATCAAAGTTCAACTTCTTTGAAGATCAGACTGTCTACGGTTAGAGTAATCATATGATGCATTATCTAAACTGAGAAGCTTTGACGGTTTTAATGATGACAAAATAATAGAGTCGTGCACCATGACTGGGACCCACAGACACTCAACTCATGTTGTATTGGTGAGGAAATAGTCACAAAATGGTCTCCTGCCTGAAGCTGTGAAGGTAAGGAAGTAAAATATTCTAGTACTTCTTTAAACTTTTATACTCAACATGTCAAGGGAAAGTCTGTTACTCACTTTGCTCTTGGAAGTGTTATAGTTAAAGCTTCATCCCAGGGCTTCATAAACTAACTTCCAGACCACTCATGTATAATTGAATCAAGCCTTTATTAAAGCACACCGGTGGCGGCTGACCAGAACATAAAGCTGTTCCCCTGATCAGCCCCGAACAATTGCAAGGGCACTCCTTATTTGCCTGAAAACCGCAAAAGGGATGTTCAGGGGGTCTAGCCAATGCAAGCAAGCCAGGTTACAGAAGCGGGACAGTGCAGTCAAGTGGAGGGAATCCTAACCAATCACAGTTAGCCCAGTCACCCCAGTTACAGAAACAGACCCTGTTACCCTAGTTACAGAAACAATACCCTATTAAGTACTTTTGTGTTCTTAAAGGTTTCTATAGCAAAAGGAAAAGAACATCTTGCTCCAGTCATTGACTCTTCTACTTGGCATGGTTGTTTTACAGGATGAAGTCAGAAAACAAAATGGAGTCACATTTCCTCCTACTATCACAGAAGAAACAGATATCTGAGGAGGTTTCTAGTTCTACCACTTTCAAGTAACCTTTTCTCACTTTGCCTTCCTTTGGTGTGTTCCTCTCATTGTTCGAAAGGCCCTTCATTCTACTTTTTGGAATTACCATTGAGTATATACTTCATGTGTGTGTGATGGATAAGAAGAGGGACAGGGAGAGAAAGGAGAGCAAGAAAGAAGAAATATGATCTGCAACTTTTCTTGACAGGCACAGTAAGCTGACTTCATCCTTTCCCTTGGCAACATGGTGTTCAGATCCTGGTAGATCAATTCCATCATCTCTTATATTGCAGTGATTCATTAAGAGAACTTGTGAATGCTTGAAAGTAAAAAGTGTTAATTAGTAAGGATTATTTATTTCATTGAAATTAGTATGAATAGTAATACTTGAAGAAGAAAAGGAAGGAAGATCACTTAGTGGCTAAAAGCAATAGTCTGTTAAAGAGAACAGCTTTACACCAATTCTTAAAAAATACTTTATCCATATTCGTTTTTAACATGTTTGCAACATAAAACCTCCCCAATTCTCTTCCCCTGGTCCCTTGATTCTATTTAACAGTTGTTCCAGAAAATTTTACAGCCATTCAAAGGTTCCCATTGATTTCTCTGACTGAGAGGAGAGAAAATGATCACAAAATGTTCTCCTGCCATTGGACTTTTGAGGAGAAAGTACAATAATGTTCTTGAAAAAAAAATGTTTTAACTTATTTATCCTATAGCCATGACCAGATAAGAAAAAATTTTAAAGGAGAAGCAAACAAATATCTTCTATGTTCTTTTTAATTAGGTGGACAAGAAACAGGCAATGTTCCTTTTATAGGTAATAAAAGTAAATAATGACACATAAAATCTTACAGTGAGTTTGATGCCATCCATACATAATTGGTCATGAGATACTTAAATGGGAAAAACACTGACACAGTTTGGACCATTAGTAATGCAATGCTAATGGACTGACTAAGTTTAGGCAGTCCTAAACTTCTGAGGCCTGATGAAGACATTTGCTTGAGTGCAGATATTAGAGAGCAAAAAGCATCTCTTAAATCTCTTAAATTCTAGTCCATGTGCATGTATGAATACTCATCAGAATGCAAAATACTATAGTTTTATTAGACAACTTCTGAAGAATCTGTATGAAAAATTTGAACTTTCAGCAATTAAAGAGGGTGATAAATTTTCATCAGTATTTTAATTCTGGGACAAGACAGTTATTCATTTGACCTAAATCAATACAAATTGGAAGAAACTGGGTAATGTCTCAGAACCAGGAAAAGAAACAGGAAACCATCTTTTTTTCAACCAATACTTTTGGCCCCTTCCAACTTTTCACCTATGCCCTGTTGAGATTTAATGTTAAAGGCCAGTTACTATGGCAGCTGCTGGCAACTTCATCCTTCTAACTGCCTAAGCCAGAAACTTCAGTATCACGTTGATAATTGCTCTTGGAAATCCTATTGGTTCTGTGGGCTCTGACCTCCCTGCAAATGGATGCCTGAATCCTTTGATAGCTGAATAGACTATTGAGAGGTCAAACCTGGTTGCAGGAAGCAGGTCACTGGTGGAGTACCCTGGAAGAGTTTATCTTCTTCCCAACTTCTCTCCCTGTCTCTCCTGTCTTCCAGCTGCCATAAGCTGAGCAGCTTTCCTCCACCGTGCCCTTCTGCCATAATGTTCTGCCTCACATCAAGTCCAGAGCATTGGAGCCAGCCAACCAAGGACTGAAACCTCTAAAACCATGAACCAAAAGAATTCTTTCTCCCTCAAGTTGTTTGTGTCATGTATTTTGTTCATAGAAACAAAAAGCTTGCTAACCCAACCATCATCTCTTAAGTACATTTGTTTAATAGCCTCCTAAGTGACCTGTTTTCTATCCTTACTTATCAGCAATGGAGGTTCAACCCAAAAGCTGGAGTAATAATTATAAAACTCAGGCATACCTTGGCACCCATTGACTTAAATCTCTGCAATGACTTTTCATTTACAGCAACTACAACAATTTTTCATAAAGGTGTGTGTGGTCTAGTGAATGACCATTTGCATCATCCTACCACATAGTCCAGTAAGCAGTCTGTTTATGTGCAGGGCAGAACAGGCTACTCCCAAGATCTACATAATATACCGTCGTAGAACCAGAAATCCTCCCTCGCTTCCAAATGCCTGTCATCCTCTTACTGATGGATAACAGAAATTCAAGCAAGAAGTTCTTCATGTCTGACCTTATGACTTTAATCTTTATTGGGTAACAAATGTCTTTTAGAGGAGCAAAAATGCATGCTGTTTGATATTTTTTATTTTTGAGAGTACATGCATTTCTCATATCCTTTTTGGCAGTAAACTTTGATAGAAAAATATCAGTAAAGTGAAAAGAAAATGGAATACTATCTTACAGAATAAGGTAGCAGGAGACAGACTACACACTTCAGCTGCATCATAATTTTATGAAGGTTCAAAACTAAAAATAACCGATATTAAAAATTTAGTGGCCTTTTAAAATTTCACTATGAAAAATAATAGCATATGCTTGCTACAATGATTGAAGTAATATAAAGAAATAAAACCTTCACTTCACTTCTAATTTTATCCTAATTTCATCCAGATATATGATTTTAACAATTTAATGTATATCCTTGTACTCTGACAGTTTAATTTAAAGCATGTCCCTAATGGTACATGAAGTAAAACTTTTATAGCAATTCCATTGTTTACTCAGGTTAGGGTTAATTTTCAACAACAATCCTGGATTTTTATAAAATATTTAAAGGCAATTATTTTATTGAAAAAAAAAACAGAAAAGGAGGATTCAAATGTAAAAATATCAATCATTACATCTCTCACTAAATCTTGCTATCAGACTTGCCAGCTTGTATGTTACCAGCTCGGCCTTGAGTTCTACTGCTCATTTGGAAAGAGAAATTTTGACGAGGCAAGAAGCAATACTATCCAAATGAGACTTTATGAGGCTTATGCTTCAGTATAAGGGAGACTTCACATGGAATAGAGTTCTGGGACTGCTTCTAGGAGATTCAAAAGTAAAGCTTACATAACCCAAAAGCCAGGGCTCATGCAGGTGCATAATCAGATATTGCACATGATACCAGGGTTTCCGTTCACCTCTTGTCAGTTCTTTGCTCTCTGTAACCAGGTTTGTACTTTCACAATGTTCTGATCATGCACTTTAGGTCCATCTGTGTTCTACTTGCAAAAGATGATGGACTTTCTCACTACCACTGCCACCCCCAAGAAGGTCATACATCCGTCAAGTTCAGGCATAGTGCACATAAAGGGGTTGCAGAAAGCTTGAATGTGGTCATTCATTTTGGAAGCAACTTATAACAGGAAAGTTGAGTAGGGCAATAAACAGCTCTCATTGCTGTCTGAATCTGAAAAACTGGCTTAGTAAGCAATTTTTGTTTATTTTGAGATTGTTTTCAAAGGTCATACATTCTTTCAGAAGAAGGAAATAAGATGTTATTTACCAAGTAGAAATTTGCATAATTATTTTCCTTGGTTTTTTTCCCCCCTTGGCAAATTAATGCTAAGTTCTGTGATTAAGCCTTTACCCAGCCACAGAATTTGTGTTCAGTAAGAACTGATTATGAATTATCTCCCAAAAATCTTTCTAACCAGCAGAAAAGTTTACTTTAGTTTTACATATCAGAAAACTGAAGATCGAAAAATTTGATACTAACACCTGGAGCACACAGTAAGTGGCAGGGCCAACACTGAGAGGAAACTGGTCTGGGGAAGCCCTACCATGTGTCATTTAACAGCTTGGGACCCTGGGTCCATCCAAAACAGGGTTCAAGTACCAGATTTACAAATAAATTCTAGCTAGTGACCCTTGGCCCTCATTTTAAGCAATATTAAATTACATGTTTAGAATAACTATTAGTAATTAGAAATTACAAGGAATTTCCAAAGTTCAGAAGAATATGTTTAAACTAGTATTTCTGATTTAAAAACAAAAAAAGATGTCCACACAACATCATGTTCAATTTCTAATTGATTTTCAGTCTTTGCACTTTGAAAAAAATATGTTATGCATTAATTTTTTTCTAGAACAAAAGAAAAATGCTTTATTTGTTATTGATAAAATAGAATAGCCAAAGTAACAAAATTGGTAGTCATCCCAGAAGAGTTTAGGTTTACATCTAAACCACAGTAAGCCACATTTTTGGTTTCTTGGCACTTTTTTAGAATATGGGGAAAGAAACAGAAATCACAAGCATGGCTAAAATAGGAAGTAAAAAAAAAGTTGAAAGGCAAAGGGGTAGACTGGGATGCAGTAGAAACTAAACAAACAGATGTAGTAAACCATGTAGGAAAAAAAATCATCTCTCCTTTATCCTTTCAGAGAGCTTATGGTCTAGATTAAAAATAAGTTGTGTCTCATGTGTAAATTCTATCTCATTGAAAGTAGCTGCCTGGAAATTGTACTGAGAGGGATTCTAGGGCTCTTTGAACTCAGTGCCATGAAGACTACTAACGTATACATTTTGGGCATAAAACAGACAATGACAACATATG